TAACTTGGGACCAGAAGAAGCCTTATTAAGGTAGCAGGATGCCTAATAGATGATAATATTGACCCTCAGGAGTAACTGAAGGTGGAATAAAGAATGTACCCTTAAAGTCACAAATGCTTTGGCTTAATCTGACTAACATCACCTGATGTGATGGTGAAACAAATGTGGGCTGGAATTGAAAGCCAAGCCACCAATTTTGCTGCTGTCTGGTGGTCCGCTGAGAGCTTCTGTCTCCTTGTAGGGTTGGCACTGGGTTGTTTAGTTTAACAGGCTGCCTTGTAAACACAGAAAAATAAAACTCTCTGGTTTGAGGCTAAAATGGCAGAAATACATTTCAGTCAGACAATCAAACAATTATCACATTTTGTGTGGGTTGTTTAGTCTCTAATAAAAGAAAAAATAAAGCCACTGTTTAAAAGAAATCACAGTGAATGACTTGGAGTGATAAATAAGAAGTGAGATCCGGCAAATGTCTTTCTTTTGGTTACCTAACTAAGGGATGAGGTTGTTTTATATATATATAAAAAGGTTTTACAGCGAATTTGAAAGAAATTTCCACACTTATTTACAAGTATATTTGGTGTATTTCTTCAATTCATTTTTCACAAATGGCTACCGTATGCTCTATGCATTTGCGCATCTTAGGTAAAGAAAACTTGTTAAAGTTGATGTTAAAGAAAGGAGGTTTTGGATACATTAAATTTGACGTTGTTGGTTTCAGTCATGCTACTCTGAGTATTTTAGACACTGATGATTTACTGTGATTTTTGTGCACGACCATGGCTCAGAGAGAGAATTGTCTTATAAAGATCCACTGAGCAGCTGCTGTTTGGATAAAATGTCTTGCATGATGGTTTTAAGTTATGTATAGGCTAATTTAGGACAGACTTGTCAAGAAATAATGTTTAGAAGTTAGTTAGTTTTATTCTTTATTTTATAGTTTTTTATTATTCTTTTATTATTATTTTTATTCATTTATTTATTTTTATAAAAAACAGAAGTTAGTTAGTTTACTGAGTTTATTAGTTATTTATCCTTTTTTTTTTAACCAACTACACTTTATTTACATTCAAAACATATTTTTGCCCTTACTATACTGTATTCGTACATTGATTTTTAAACATTTTTCACTTTATTCTGTTATTTTGTTCTATATATACTTAATTAGTGCACATACCTTTTTTTATAATATCTGTCGCTTTGCTGCTGTTACAAGATTTCCCCATTGTAGGACAATAAAGGGGATTTTTTTATTTGTTCTATTTCTAGAAAACTCTATCTTTAAATCTATATGTCTGTCAAATGCAAAAACTTGAATTTGAAGCAGACTGGCTACAGCATTGGAAGACTCCAGCTAAAAGCAGGAAACTGGGGCTGCTGTTAACACAGGCTAAAACAGATCCCAGGTCTGATGAGTTTCGGGTAAGATGGTCGGGTCAGAACCTGGTGCAAACATTAAAGCATAGATCCATCGTTCCTTGTATCAACAATTAAAGCTGATGATGGCAGTGGAGTGGTGGGCGGGATGTTTTCTTTGCGTGCTTTGGACCCTTTAAAACCAGCTGAGCATTGCTTCCAATCATATCCATCCCTTAATGAACCCAGATAACCAGTATTCTGATGTCGGTATCCTGTAGGATAATGCACCCCCATGTCACAGTACTTCATTATCTCGAGAGGATTTTTTTGAAAATAAAAATGAGTCATTTCAATGAGGCCTCCACAGTCAACTCTAAGACCAACAGAGCAGACAGAGACTGGGATGTGGTGCATGTTGAAAATCACATCATAGATCAATTCACTTCTCAATACAGTTTATTGAAGCAGCACAAATGATAATTTCATCTAAATATAGAGTTAAATCTTTAAAGGAGGTTTCCTACGCTTAGTTGAATCACAGCCATGAAAATGAAACACAAATCATTGTCAATAGGCCTTTATCCACACTAAAAACATGGTTGTTTCTGCTCCTTTTTTCTTGAACCCAGGTGAGCTGTAAACATCTAAGTGGATATTTGAGTTTAAATAGGGCAGCATTTCTATAATTTAAAACTGTTACAGGAAAGAGACTGCATTTGGCCCCAGACACATAACACAGAGAGTCCTTTACACCAAGCTTGTAGTAAACTGTAGTAAAGCTCAGTGAGTGGACAGAATCAAGTCGGAGCGCTGTGAAAAGTAAATATTGGAAAAAGATAATAGGGATTTTAATGTAGGCAGGATAGAAGTGGACTGTTTGTCTCAAACAAGTTAAAAAGAAGGGTCTCGATGTCTTTCATAGAAATGAAAGAATCCAGTCATAGGTCTCTTCCAGATATCTCTTGATCTACCGTCCCATATAGAATCTAGGTAGAGGGATGGATATAAACAAATGCAACTATTTTAACAATAATTCAGCCAAAGATTGTTTTGGTTTTCAGTTGTAGTATAATAAAAAAAAGAATGTTTCAGCATTTTAGCCAATTGTGATAATTTGGATTTGGACTTAAGCAGTTAATCTTTTCCTTTGTATTCATCCTGTCTGATGTTGTATCAGCATGTATGTTTGTTGTAATAAAGAAAAACCATAGACATTCTTTTTAAACCTGGTTCTCTCACACAAACTATCATCATTTGTGCTGAAATGCCCCTTTTGTATGTTTTTAAGTGTAATTTATAAATTAAAAACAAAAGTTCACCCTCCTTTAGGTTTTAATCCTGATTTACTTAGAAAAGATCAAATGGAAACATTGAGGAAGCCCAGAGCATGACAAATCTCTGCCATGCTTTACTCTGTACCACTTGTTTTCTTTTTTATTGAAAACAATGTTGTTGTTTTTTCCAGATATCTCATACAATCACAAACCCAAATTAGTGAATAGATGTGAAGTGGAATTTATGTTTAGTGCATCACCCTTTAGTTCCTGAAAGTCATTACTTTGTCTCTTTGAGACCTCAGTTACTAACTTACAAGTGTTGTCACATTAAGCTTCTCTACTCTTTTCTTTTAGACCTCCATGTCTTTAATTCCATCCACCCTCTATAAAAATGTCCTGCTTTGCCATCCCTACTAAAGAAAAGCTTCCCCACAGCATTATGATGCCTTTACCATGCCTCGTGGTGAGGATGGTGGAGAGGTGCTAGTGATGGAGATTGCATTTAAATCCGGCTAGACAATGATCAATTTGAATCCAATTTGACCAGAGCAGCTTTCCACACACCTTTGCTGCTTCCTTAATTAGGTTTCTCTCATATGAGCTTTAGATCTTCACAGCTCCTCTAGAGCTACCATGGATCTCTCAGCTGCTATGCTAATTACACCCTTTTTTCCCAGGTTAGGTGGTTTGGCTTTTTATACACTTTGTTATGTAATTTCATTAATTTTATCATATTTTCTATAAGGAACGGGTAAAAAAAAAAAATGTTTTTAAAGTAAAATTAGGAAAAAATAAAACAAAAAAAAACAAACAAGAAATATTTGTATGTGCATATGTATCCATCCTCTTAAATACAAGGCTACAAAAAAGTTTGGGTACAACCAAAAAACTTAAAAGAATCACGTATTTATTGAAATGAAGTCCAATTTATGTGTCACAGGATCAACATAAACATATATTTTTGAAAGGCCTTCGAGGCTGCCTCTCTACTAACTATGAGCACCTGAGCTCTCCAAACAAGCCCGAAAATAGTTGTTGAAAAGTGCCAGTTAGGCTGGACCATGGCCTAGTTAAAGTTTAAAGCTTAATTTGAATTAAGGTCTGTGGTCAGAATTGAAAATCATTGTTTGCATGTGAAAACAATCCAGCATGACGGATATAAAGCAGGTTTGCTTTGAAGACTAGGCATTAGATCCATTCTCAAAATGTGGGAATCTCATAGAGACTCATCTGAAACCACCTGCAGCTGAAATGAATGCAAAGTAAGCTACAATGTACTGACCGTAATGGTTTATGCACGCTGAAATTTTCTGTTATTTTCTCCCTTTTCTGAATAGCTTCAAAATAAACCAAAAATGTAATCTTTAAGGTTGTTGGCGTGTTTCGTACTTAAAATGGTAAAAACAATCAAACAGTCCAATGTAAAGTCTAGTTTAAATGAAAATGTTAACTTATGTTTTTCATGTTTAACAAAACATGAAAAATCCCAAAGAGGGTTAATGTTTTTCAAGTCACTATATTGTCAAAAAAAAAAAAAAAAAATCAAGCATAATTTGTTTTTTACTTTATAATAATGTAGGATCTACCACAAAAACCTGGCTTTTTAACAGATAAAAACAAGAGAGGTTTAATGATGTTCTGGGTATGACCACACCTCTGTGCTCTGCCGTGTTTTAAATAAGTCATCATATTGTTTATTATATGTTCATGTTAGTCAAGATGTTAGTTATTTTTTAAAAGCTGGTGCAGATCCTCCTCTAATAGGGCCGGTTTCATGAAGGCGAGCATCTGGCCTCCTTTCTTCTCCTCTCCGCTGCCTTAATTACACAACACAATGGCGATCCGATCTGCCTGTAATCTCCTAGTATAATAACCCCCCCAACCACCGGCACCTCACACCATTCCCTCCCTGCCTCTAATTCAATATAAATGTAAATTACCTAGAGAAAAGAATAACCAAATCTCATTTTATTTACATGACTAATCACAATCAAAGTCAGGCAGATGAAAAATGAATGAAATATATGGCTGGAGTTTGAATGAAAGAGGGGGGGGTATGTTTACCTTAAGGGTATCTGGTTTATATCATCCTAGTTTTTTCTTTTTGTTTACATCAATACACCTTTTGGACCCATTCCTAACGTGCTGTAATTTTAGTTTGTATCTCTCTCTCTCTCTTCTGTCTGATTGTGTTCAAACAGCCAAGGGCATCAGAAGGCAATATGTTTTTCTCTTTTGCAACGCACACATCTCATGTCAAAATGGACAGGAAAAAAAATGACTTTATGTTGAACACCTTAGGCTATCCATCCAGACAGCGATAAGTTTAGGTGTGATTCATTCCCTCTGTGCTCACACCCACAGACATCGCCCCCCAAGACCCGTTTGAGGAGGAGTTTCGCAGCCGCAGACACAACACGCTCCCCAGTTTGGGCCTGCATCAACGCTACCTGAGGAACTCCGCCCAGAACCCCTCTGAGGAAGAGGAGGAGCACAGCCCGCAGAGCCTGGGACTAACGAGAGGTCCGCCCTGCTGCCACTGCAGGCCTGATTAATTATCAACACACAGACCTTTGCTTTAAAGAGTCCTAATGAGGATGGCTAATTGTGTGCCTTTGTGCCTGATGGCCAAACAAAGTACAGCGATGAAAGCTGATTGGCAGATGTAAACACAGAAGACAGAGATGTTCATTAGCCAGCTCTGTTTTACGTCGCCGTAACAACAGGAGGTCACCATCCGCCCCCTGTTTTTCTTTACGGGGTCAGGAAGTCGGTCACTAAAGCTGAACAATTACCCACAGCCACCGAGCGTTTTACATATGGCAGCTTCATTAGCAGAGGAGGGGACCTTTAACTTCAGCGTGCATAGTTCCTGCTGAGATGCAAACAAAAGTCTGATCCTGAGAGATTTAAACCAACATTCCTTTCTGAAGCTCACAGTCAATTCAGCAGCAAGGTCTGATGAGTCAAAACCCCCCAAACATATAGTTATCAACTTCCCTTATTAACTACATTTCTCAGTTTTTGTACAGTTAAAAGCTAAATGAGGGCTGATGGAGCTGTAAAAGCAAAATGGCCTCATTTTGTGAGTAAAATGATAAAATGTTCTCTTCGTCCTTCACATGCAACATCTGAATTCCTGTATGCAAATTGAATTAAATGTTTGATTAATTGCCAGCACAACGGTTAAAAATGCAGTCTTACGCATTAATTAATTCTTCCCTGAATCAAATTTAGATGTATTTAAATGGGATTTTCTGTTGAAAACCAGTGAAAGTGAAAAAATTATTAACTTGATAAAAATAATAGCACATTATTACTTAAATAAAATTGTATGTGTTGAACTCATTCAAAAGTCACGTGATTAGTTAGTTAATGAATAAATATATCTGCTTTTGCAGGTAACATAGAGGACAAACAGGATCCTGATGATCAGCGCCAAAGTAAACAGGTTGAGGGGCAAACAAACTTAGGCTCTAAAACAAGATCCTAAATGTTCCAATAACTGGATGCTCAATTAAAATAAAAGTTTGGAAGAAAGGAGGCTGTAATTCTGAAGGAACTGCAGAGATGCACAGCCTGAGCTGAGATGGAAGTGTTTGGATCAAACTATTCATAGAATGGCATAGTCAAAGTCCAGACCTGGATCTAATTGAAAGCATCTGTCGGAACCTAATAGACTGATGTTCACTGTCTTCCTCCTTTCCAATGTGACTTAGTTTTTTGTATAGATAAAATATCAAAAGTTTCAGCCTTTAGACGTGAAAATCAGGTTAAGAAAGATTTGTGGATGACTTTTCATTCTTTAATATTTGTAAAATACCGTAAGCCATTTTTGAATTTTATGGTTTCTCTAATATCCATTTTTTTCAGTTTCTCTATCAAATAAAAAATCCCAATAAAATCCATTCACGTTTGTGGTTTTCACACGACAAATAGTGTTTTCACAAGGTGTGAACCTTTTCTGCCAGCAAATGTTATCTTCAAAAAGGACTGCTCATACTTATTGACAATGATGTTTTTTTTCTGGTGTTTTAAAGGACATGTGGACACCAAAAGGAAGAAACTGTGGCTGAAGGAAGCGGAATCCAAAAAGAAACGAGCTCCTCGACTCTTCCCACGTTTCAGTGGTTTTGGTACCTTTTTTTGAACAGTTCCTTGTTATATATGGCAGCTGTGCCTTCGGCTGTACGTGGCATTAGAGACCCAATGGCTCCACAGCTGCGTCATAGCTCTATTTTTTTCTATTAGTTCTAGCACGAAACATTGTGTCCCTGCTCGTTTGATTAACTGAAACATCTATTTGAGACCTCCGTTAAATATTTCGATTTTTACAGGATTCATTGTAGTTTAACGGCTGTTGGTGGAGATTATTGTATGAATAAAGCACTAGGGAAGCCCTAACAAGTTCAAATAAAGACTTTCAGAGTTCTGGGGCAGGATAAATTGAAGGGCAGCCCCTGCATAAGGTTAATAAAACTCTATTTAACAGCAACAAGCAGGGGAAACCAACTCTCCACTGGAAGCACATTCATAAAAGCAAAAGAAGACATGATAAAGGTGCAAACGAGAGATTTTTCTCTTTAATATGATGCTGGTGCGCTTCCCATTCAAATTGCACCTTGAACAATAACCAGTATGCCCGATACTAAACCTGCCTCTTCTAATTGAAATAATAAAAAAGTTTATAAGATGACAGATGCATAGCTAGCGCAAAAAATGTAGAAGAAGTATCTTCTTATTGAGCTTTCTTGGTTTCTGCTTGATGCTTTATACATATTTGAAAAGGTTCAGGTGGAAGAAGAATCACAGGGGCAGCTCTGTTTGAAATTAGCAGGAAGTTTGTGACACTGCACAGCATGTGAGAGTCAGTGAAGGTCAAACCATTTAATGGATCCATCTTTAATAAGAGACAAAGAGGAAGACGGAAGACTGGAAAATGTGAGAGGCACAAAGGCTTACGGCAGTATTAGAAGACGATGTATGAACTCTGAATTACATTTTTACACAGCATGAAAGGACACTATTACCACTCTTAAATACTACTTTAGGGAATTAATTGTGTTTGTGAATTCATTGTGTTTGTAAAAGTTTTCTCATGAAAAGTTTTCCTTATTTGATGAATCCTGACAAACGCAATAGTAATGTTCAGTTTTTATGGACTCTCATGAATAAATGCTTAAACGGAACATAAATTGTGTTTTTCTGTTGTGTTGAGATGTTTTAGAAATAACTAGTTTTTATTGTTTCTGGCAGAGGTTACTTTATTATTTTAAATGTGCTGCTATTAGGTGCCATGCATTATGAGAAGGTTTTTATCAGAAGTATAACAGGCATAACTGACCCTCCACTGTGCCAAACAGTGGAAATTATGTGTTTTTAATCATATTTACTGTTTATTTCAGTCCAAACCCTCTGCTCCTGTTTGTTGTTAAATAGCTCAATGTTAGTCTAATCTGAACATTAGTAAACAAAACAGAGACAAAGGGAATGGGTCAAAAATGTGTGAATATCTGAGCCAGATTGAGTCACATTGCGACTCCTGAAATCCATAAGTTAGCATTGTGATTTATTCAGTGCAGCTTGCCTGCTCTTCACCAGGCTATCAGCCTGGCTTACTCAAACCAAGGTCTATTTAGTGACACCGATCAGAAACCAATTACTTCTACTTGGGATCATTATCCCGTGATGGCAAATTTTAAGGGACAGTACCACCATCTACTGTGGCTGGCCTGTAGGCCAGAGTATTTGTCAAACCAAATTTATATTCTTATAAATAATACCATTCAACTTAAAAATCTAGCGGCTACTGTCTGCATCAAAGGGATACGTTTAGTCACTGATTTTGTTTTCCTTTCTGCATGTTGGGGTATTTGTTATCAGTCTACATTAAAAACCACTCATATTTATTATTATATAGCCAAGTACTGTAATAATCATAACAATTATAAGGCAGCCTATACAATTATTGCCTTTATAATGTGGACATTGTTTTTAAATACACCTATGGTCCTAAGTTTAAGAGAGAGGCATTTAATAGACTATAGCTGCATTTAGAGGAATATAGAAAGGCTCACATTCTCAGAAGTATGAGCGTTACTGTTCTTTTTAACAATGACACTTTGAGACACAACACTGCAGACTGCTAGGTCTCAAAATTGAACATTGTGCAGCCTTTACCATTACACCGATGTTCTATGTTGGGCTCAGTTTTTTTTTTGAGAGGTAATTCTCATATGCAGTATTTTTGAACGTGTGTATTTTTCATTGAAATAATATAAACACATCTTTATAACCTTCCTTGGCCCCAGAAAATTAACCTTATCAAGGAGGGATTTTACTCTATTGCACTAAATTAGGCAACACATCACCAAAGAAACTTTAGAAGAGGTCGACTACATTTTAAATATTTTCTGTACAGGGTTTCTTTAAGTTATCAATAAGATATAATTCTGGGAATAACAGAATTTAGTAAGAGACCTGCATTTACATTGCTTACTTACACCTGGCTTAAGGTAGCTGCACCTGAAGGCCTAATCCCCAATTAGCCTATAAGAACTACCCATAAAGGCCCCTCCATATTAAGGGCTGCCCCAAACCTTTAGTGGGTAGAGTAAGTCAACCGTTCAGCCCCTAAATATTGAGTCTGCATCAGTGGAAAAGCGACCTAATGCCAGAGGAAACACCTGTATTTAAATACAAGTTCCACTGGTTTTCAACATCTTTGTCAGACAGAAAACCACAAGTTAGGAAGAAGGAAAAAAGACGTCATTGATTCCAAAGGGGAAGGTCCTCTTTGAAATTGTTTATTTTGACTGAATAAATGTATTATCAATAAAGGGGCAAATGATTGATTCCATGTCAGCCCGGTTCCTGGTTTGGGACTGGGTGGTAAAGTCTGGTTTGGTGATTGTGGAAGCCAAGATGGACAGACTGAGAGACCTCAGGGCTGCTGGTCTCCTCCACAGAACCTGCCTCTGTTCTCCCCTTGTGTCCCGTGTCTCTGAGGAATACGGTGGCGACCAGTCCTCAGCCACAGGACAATGCTGGGACTGCTCTACTTGTCATGTTTGTCTTGCTGTAAACGCCACCGTTAGATTTTCAGGGCAATACCTTCATGGGAGCATTTTTCTGTTATATGCAGGAAGAATTAGGGCTCCAGGGTGATCAGAGTTGTACTTTATGAAAAGTGAGTTGTTGAAGGCATCAGTCAGTATGGCACCAAAAACAATGTATTTTTATTTCCAACCGGGAATGCTCTCTTTAATTAATAGCTTTACCAAAATTGGTTTAGATTTTCAGAGGGAATGTTTGGCTCTGCATATAAAGAAGATACCAAATATACAAGAATATTTCTATATTTTTGCCAAGAGCAACAATAAATGTGAAGACTCCATACAGTATCTCCTGAACCAAATGATTTGGAGAGAAATAGTAATTTGCAGCTTTTGACGTACAATAACAATTTTAAGTAGGTTAAGGAAACCACACAGTTAATATTTTTAAATGTGAGTTAATCATGTCCAAAAAATTGCACCAAACTATAGGCATCAGCAGACTGAAAATAGACTAATGAATGAAAACCATTCGTAATTAATCTATAAACTGTCAGTACTAAGGTACACAAATATAGTATACAAATAGACATTTAGCTAAAGCTATATCTGTGTTAATTTATATACACCCAAAGTAGTGTTTTTCTCCTCTATTTCTGTTTCTTGAGGTGAGCATCACTTTGCATAACAGCTAAATATTGAACCTTTTTCAGTAAGTAAATGGGTTTGCTGTTTGGTGCTTAGGAGGTGGCTTCCATTGGGTTAATCAGCCTGTTTTGTGTTGAAACATAGCAGGTAGCAGCTGATTACATGTGAAACAGAATGAATGAGCTTACTGAAGAAATGAATTCAACCCCAGGGTGCAGTTATACAGACCAACTCTTTCAGGATTCATACATCATAACTATACTGTAGTTTTATCAGTAATAGTACCAATAAATCATCATTATATTTTTGTTTAGTCAAGCTTTGCACATGATTTTTAACAGCATTAAACACTGAGATGATGTTTATCGGACACCTTGAAGCTTCTGGTTAAAGGTATAGTGGAGAATTTTTGCAAATTTTTGAAAAGACCCACCCTCTCCAGTTTAAAAAAAAATGTACATGCACAACCTTGTACCCGCTCCTGAGAGGGAACGCCTATTAACTTGTGCAAAAGCATGCACAATCCCATATCTCCTTGTGCACGCTCTGTTTAAAAGTTGTTGCATCGCGCATGCAAGCTTTCCAAAAGAAGATTTGCAGTTCTTTCACTATGTCAGATTGACCACCGGTAAGTGAAAATGGGGATGAGCATATAAGGACTCACTTATGTAAACATATCACCAGAATGATTGACAATTAGGAGGCCCACTTATTTTGATGATCCACCTGGAAAAAGATCATCTGCTATACCTTTAATGTTCCTTTCAAAGGTGTGAACATACTTTGAACCTTTAGGCATTCTCTCACACTTTGATCACATTTTAAACCAATTATTTTGAGATTTTAGGTGATAGATCAACAGAAAGGACTACATAACTATTTCTGCCTGTTCTGTCCTCCAACAACTACAAACAGTTTAAGCATTTTCTCTGGTTACAGGGTATTTTAGTTAAGATTCACTGACCTAAATGTCCAATGTCCTTGAGCAAAATCCAAAAGAATGTTTATGCAGAAATCTAAGACAAATCATAAAAGTATTCGCAAACATATGGGGTTAGGTAACATCCCATTCCTAATCCATAGGGATTAAATGGGACGTTGGTGGATCCTTTGCAACTATAAAAGCTTCAGTCCTTCTGGCAAAGGCGTCCACCTGGTTTAGGAGTGTGTTTATGGGAATTTTTGACCACCCTTCTGGAAGCGCATTTGTGAGGTCACACACTGATGTTGGACAAGAAGGCGTGGCTCTCGATTTCACCCCAGAGTTGAGGTCAGGACTCTGTGCAGGCCAGTGAAGTTCCTCCACATCAGACTCTGCCATCCATGTCTTAATGGTGTCAAGAAACGAGACAGATGGACCCAGTATTCAAGGTGAGACAGCCGGTAGCAAAGTTCAAAACATTTATTAAAACAAAGACATAAACAGACGGAACAAAAGTGGAGCTGCTTCGGAACTGCGGTTCGCGGCGACTGCAGGAGGGGGGCGGGGCCCCGCCCAATCTCAGACACTCTGGTCATGGGAGAAACACAGGTAAGTCACCACGATCATCTGACAGAAGATGATAATCTCAGTAAGTCACTTACCAACTCCATTGAAGGGGGTGTGATCCAGCCGATGGGCTGACCAACTGACGCGGCGTGTGTCACCCAGAGTATCCCCGGTGCTGCAACCCTGGACTACTAGCAGGAAGCCTATCAGAATCAGGGGCAGACAGATCAGGCAGGATCCAGGAATCCAAGAGCTCCCAAGCAGGTTCAGAGTCCAGAAGCGTGAACAGGCGGACATGCACAGAAGCAGACAGGCTCAGATCCAGAAGGGCAGGCTCAGTGGTTGAGGGTAGCAGAGATGGGACGGGGGACCAGAACTGGATGCCGGAAACTTTAAACTGGTCTCCACCTTCAAGCCAGGCTTACGGGGATAAAAACTGATCCTCCCCGTACATCGAACCAAAACCCTAAGGACTCAGCAGGGGAGGAACAGTGAATGATCAGGAGACGAAACAGACACAATACCCTCTTTTCACTGGCCCCACGATCCAGGACATGAACAGTGGAATAAACTAAACCAACTCAACAGACAGACTAACAAGAAACAAATAATGATCTGGCCCAGAATCTTCAAGTTGAATATATGAATATAAAGCAAAGGAAACAGGTGAAAAGAATAAATGATAATTGCAGCAGGGAGGGAAAACAGCAGGTGAAAGAAATAAA